AGAAAATTTTTTACCTTTTTTGACAGTCGGAAAGGGCTCTAGTGCGGCGGCGGGTGGTGGCGGTCTCCTTCTTGGCAGCCGGGTCTTCTTATCTGGCGAGGGGGTCTGGTGGCTAGGGTTAGGGTTTGGTGTGGATAGGAGTTATTTATATTCGTCTGCTTTTAATCTGGACCTTCCATCACTTTTGATATGGACCGTCTGATTGCAATTAAATAGGGAGTTAATCTGGACGGTTCATCGCGATCCAATCTGGACTATCCATCGCGATATAATCTAGACCGTTTGATCGCGTTCAAATCTAACCATCCGATCGAGTTTGGGGAGGGAACGCATCTGGGCAGTCCATGCTCACGGGAACGGATCTGGGCCATTCTATCGCAAGCACGTGAATCACTCGCGTGGCTTCCCACGTGCACCACGTCAGCGTCCATTGCCACGCGACGCGTCCTGATTCATCGGGCTTGCTAATTGGGTGTCTGACTTGGCAAAATTTCTCTAAATTGTATTTTGACCCCTAGTTTCTGATTTTTTTTTTAAAAATATCCCTAGAGCCCAAATTTTCACCCCTTTTTCCCAAAATTATTTTTAATTTAATCTTTCATCAATTTTATTTCATTTCACTCTAAATTAAAATTAAAAAAATTAAAAAATTAAGAAATTATATTAATAAAATCCTAATTTACAAAAAAGTAATTTATAATGTTACAACTCTCCCCCCTTAAAAGAAATTTGATTCCTCAAATTTATCTCTCTCACTCTCAATGAAACAGCTGAGAATATTTGGCTCTGAAGTTTGATTCTAGCTCCCATGTGGCCTCTTTCGGTGTGTGATTCTGTCATAGGACCTTAACAAAGAAAATTTTCTATTTACGAAGTAATCTGCACTTTCAGTCCACAATGTCGACCAATACTTTTTCGTAGGACAGATCCTGCTGAAGTGAAAGAGGCTCGTGGGCCAAGACATGAGAGAGGTATGGGTTGTACTTGCGTAGCATGGACACATAAAACACATTATGGACCCTGAAAAGTTCTAGAGGCAGTGCGGATCTTTATGTGGCAGTACTAATTCTGTTTAAGATTTCAAATGATCCAATAAATCGGGGATTCAGTTTCCCCATCTTGCCGAACCTATTAATTCCCTTGAAATGAGTGACCTTAAGGAACACCTGATTGCTTTTCTCAAATTTTAAGTCTCTCATTCGGGTGTCCGCATAACTCTTCTGTCTGCTCTGAGCCGTCTGAATGTTCTTCCTGATCTTAACTATTTTGGATGTAGTCTCCTCTATCAGATCTGGATCGAACAGTTTTCTATCACCAACTTCCTCCTAAAAAATCGGCGATCTGCATGGGCACCCATATAACACCTCATAAGGAGTCATGTCAATACTTGCTTGGTAGCTATTATTGTAGGCGAACTCTATCAGGGGTAGATGGTCATCCCAATGGCCTCCGAAGTCAAGAACACAAGCTCGGAGTATATCCTCAAGTGTGCGGATTGTCCTTTCTGACTGTCCATTGGTTTGAGGGTAGAATGCAGTGCTAAGGGATAATTTCGTTCTCATGGCTTGCTGAAGGCTAGACCAAAACCGAGAAGTGAACCTGAGGTCCCTGTCAGACACTACTGTCACTGGCACTTCGTATAATCTGACTACTTCTCGAATATACATTCTTGCCAACTTGTCTAAGGAATCGGTCGTCCTGATGGCCAAGAAGTGAGAAGACTTAGTAAACCGGTCAACAATTACCCAGATGGCATCATGTTCTGAGCGTGCCTTATGTAATCCTGTCACGAAGTCCATGGTGATATGTTTCCACTTCCACTCCGGGATTGGTAATGGCTGAAGTAGCCCACCTGGACGTTGATACTCTGCCTTGACCTGCTGACATACCAAACACTTAGAAACAAAGTCAGCTATATCTCTTTTCATCCTGTTCTACTAAAATTGGGGTCGCATACTCTGGTATATCTTAGTACTTCTGGGATGCATGACAAACTTTGAACTATGGACCTCTGTTATAATATTTCTTTTTAACTCACTGTCACCTGGAATACACACTCTGTCCTGGAATGTGAGCAACCTATCGGTGGAGACTTGGAATTCTGGGTTAACTCTCTATTTTGCATCTTTCTTGAGGGCCACTAGAGTAGAGTCGGCAGACTGAGCTTCTTTTATTCT